TCTCAATGGAAAAGGAATGAGTGACTGGAAGTAGCTACATTTATATTTAATCAAGAAGCATTTATTAAGCACCTACTATGTGCCAGGCACTGTTGTAGATGATGAGAATACAAATGAAAAAAATGAAATAGTCCTTGCCTTAAAAGAACTCACATTCCTTCTGGGATGAGAAAATATATACATATAAATGACTAGAATGTCATTTGTGAGGAAAAGCAAGAAGGCTAGTTTTGTTGGGAGTTCAGGAAGAACAGAAGAAATACAGGGTGTCCCAAGAGTCAGTTCAGTTTTAAGCCTTAATAGCTGTAAAATGTTTTAAATGCCAAACAAAGGAGTCTGCATTTGATGGTAGCGGTAATAGGGAAACATGAGAGTTCTTTGAGAAAGAGATGAAAGTGGTTATTAAAAAAGCATTTCAAATAATACTTTGGTAGCTAAGTAGATGGTAGATTGGAACACTAGCAAAGTTGAGGCAGGGAGACCAATTAAGGGACTAAAGCAAAGTCCTCGTGCTGAGGGCCTGAATAAGGGTTTTCTGGTAGCATGAGTGGAGGCAGAAGTGAAAGATGTTGTGGAGCCAGAATCAATAAGATTTGGCAATAGATTGGATCCATTGTTGATGTTTAGTTGTTTCAGTCATGTCTGACTCTCTGTGACCTCATTTGGGGTTTTTTCGGTGAAGATACTAGAGTGGTTTGCCATTCCTTCTCCAGCTCATTTTACAGATGAGGAACTGAGGCAAACATGTTTAAGTGATTTGCTCAAGGTCACACAGCTAGTAAGTGTCTGAGGCCAGATTTAGACTTAGGAAGATAAGTCTTCCTGACTCCAGGCCAATACATTGCATCACTTAGCTGCCTCTGAACAGAAATAGGGAAGTTTCCAAAAGATCTGAGTTCAGGGTAAAATGAATTCTGTTTTGGGCATGATGAGTTTAAAATGCCTATAGGACATGTAGTTCAATGATTCTAACTGGCAGGTGGTGATGCACAACTGAAGCTCAAGAGAGAGAAGAAGACTGGGAATACTGATCTGGGAGATGTCTTCATAGTGAAAACAAATCCCTGGAAGCTATAACTTCACCAAGAATCAGGATAAAGAGAGAAAGGCTCAAGAGAGAATCATGTAGTTTACCCACAGTCAAGGGATGGAATTTAGATGATGAACCAATAAAGGGGCTGAGGAGTGATCAAACAGGTAAGGGGAACACCAAAAGAATTCAGTGTCATGAAAATCCAGAGAAGAATGTCCACATGAAGGAAAAGTGGTCAATAGTTTCAGATATTTAGAGGTCAAGAAGGATGAGAATTTAGAACGTATTTTGGGATACAGTCAAGGTAAAATTTCCTTTGCTTAAATTAACTATGTGTGTGTTTTCTAAAAAGATTTTGTTTTTCTTTATTACTTTTTCTTTTCTTCCATGGGTTTAGGGTCGGTTGGAGGGAGAGAAAATAAGTATTTATTAATCGGAAAAAAAAAACAAAAAAGAGAAAAGGTCACTGGATCTGGTGATTAAGAAATAATTCTTAACTTTGAAGAGAACAGTTTAAGTTGACTGATGAGATTAGAAGCTAGGATGAGAAGAGAATTCGAAAAGTAGATTTAGAAATAAAGAGTAAGCAGCTTTTTCTAAAGTTTTGGCTATTAATTGAAGGAGAAATATAAGATAATAGCTTGAGGTGAAGGCAAGAGGAAGACAAGCTTTTGTAAGGAAGCATATGTTTATAGGCAGCAGGTAAGAAATTTGTATACAGGGAGACAGAGAAGAGGACTGATCACTGTTTGTGTGTATGTGTATATTTATGCATGCACGCATGCACGCACACACAAATCACTTTACTCATTTGACTTTCATCTTTAAAATGAGGCAGGTGGACTCAAAGTTCACTTCTGGTTCTAAGTCTATGATTCTATAATGTTAATGTGTTCTTTATATACTAAGCTAAAAATCTGTCTCCATATAGCTTCCATATTTTTGTCTTTGTCTTCTGGGTCTCAGGAAAATGAGTCCATTGAAAATTTCCTTAATTCATCCAGGTGCAATGGATAAAGCCCTGGACTTGGAGTCAGGAAGATCTGATTTCAAATCCAGACAGACATTTAACTAGCTGTGTGAGTCTGGGCAAATCACAGAAAGCTCTGTCTGCCTCAATTTCCTAGTCTATAAAATGGGAATAACAGGATAAAATGAGATATATGTAAAGCACTTTGCAAACTTGAAAGCACTGTATAAATACTAGCTATTATTAAAAATAATACTTTCCTAAGATAAATCTTAACTGTAGTATTCCTTTCCTTTTACATGATATAGCGAAAAAAATGCAGGATTTGAAGTCAGGAGACCTAGGTTTCTCCAAGGCAATTGGACCTTTTCGGTTCCATTCTACCTCTAAAGCTAGGATCCTATGATCTTAATTTAAATATATCTATTCAATTAATTATAAGGATAAATTATAAAGGATATATTTTCCCATTTGTATTCTTTTTATTCTTGTTGAACAGAAAGAGACCTGGAGATCCCAAGTTTACTGTTTTTGAATACATATCAACACAGGACCATTATAGATACTGCTTTGGGTTTTTTTTTTTTCATTATTATAACCCTACTGAAATGGACTATTCAAAAATAGATTTACATTGTTTAATAAATTATTGCTAAAAAAAACCTGTACTATGGCATTTATAATTATTTTGTTGGCATTAAATAAAACACACATCACATACAAATATACCTTTCAGAGTATAATATAGTCACTATTCATGGAGTTTTAATATCACTTATCCTCTATAAATGTTACTTTTTTGGAAATCTCAGGAAAAATTTTAATATTTTGCTTTGAATTTTTATCCTCATCTTTTAATTACTTCACAGATAACATACAAATTAAAATCCATAACACATGAATGTTGACATTTAGAATCTCTTTTAAATTATAGCTTTTAATAAACAAGCATTCCATTATTGACACCAAAACTTGTTTTCCTGAATGTCTTTCTATTTTTACCATAAGCAAATATCCACTGAAAAAAATATTTCAGTGAATGACTACCCCAGAAAATATACTGCATTCAAATAAATTGCTTTGTCATTTTAGAAATTACATTGCTACTTGCTCTGCATAGCAAATTACTATTTCTTAAAAACAAAATTTACTTTATTTATTGATTCTGAGGTTAACAGGATATATGAAGAGTGTCAAAATTTCTTTTGTGTCCAAGGAAAGCCAATAAATATATGAAACTTTGAGGATTCTAGAAAGGTATATATCATTTGTCTACAATCTTCTAAAATGAACTAAAAACAGTTTTTCATTTTCTTCCTGATTCTAGTGGGGAAATTAGAATCTTTCTCACATCCTATCATGAAGTCTACAAAACATGCGGCTTGTGAAGAATCAATATATAAACTTATTTAACATTCAACTTCAGTTATGAGTCTTTCTTATCCAACCTAACAGTAGTAGTACAGAAGTAAAGAATAATGATAATAATCAAGAGAAATGGGAATATTGGAGTGGATATTGTCCTTCAGATTTCATTAATCAAATTTCCTCTGACACAATGAAAACTGAAATGAACTAAGCACTCAAAGACTGATGCCAGCAACTTTATCCTATTGTTAAAAATAACAAACTTTTCAAAATATTTTCAAGAGTATAATTTCAAATATAAAGTGAACAGTATAACAGCAATATACTAGAACTTCCAATAAGCATTATTTTCTAAAAAAGAAAAATTTAGTTCTAGTTTGAACCCAGTTCAGAGGAGTTTAGTAACTGAAAAACCCTAAGACCACAATATAAGGTATTATATCCTATAAAGTGTAAAACCAGTGAAAATTGTTATATGAGTGAGAGTTAAATGAATTTATATATCCATGCATGTTCCTGAACTGATTCATTAAATCATCTCCTTTTACTGGATAAAATCTTTGGTATAGTACACTAACTTTAAGTGGTATTTTATTATTGGTTTTCATTTCATAAACTATTAGTCTTAAGCAGCATACTTATTTATATTTGCTTATCTGGAAATTTCTGCTCAGAAACGCCAGACAATGATATTTTTGTCATCTTTGAGCAAAGACAAACACATATTTTAATAAGTGGTAAGAAACTGAGAAACACAAAATTAAACTAAAAAGACCTGTTACCCTAAAATAACATACATGTTTAAGTAGATACAGAGTATATGTATAATAATGAAGAGTTGTGAGAGTTTATCTCTGAGATCCAAAAATATGTGCTGAATCACTTCCCTTGTTTTTTTTAAGGCTTTGCTTTGATCATTATTAAGAATCAGGCATATAGTTATTCAACTAGAAAATTATTCCCTCATTGACCTCTGAACCAAGTTCCAATTCTCTTGGCATAGTACAAGGCATGCTGTAGGTATCCAATAAATACTCCTTTACTGGACTTATTCATTAGAACTTTCAGCAATAGATTAAAGTAATGCGACTAATGGCAGTGCCTGAGTTTCATAAGCTTTTAGAAAAATCTCCACAACAATCAGACCTGTTTTTTCAGAGTGATATTAAATTAACTTTTAACAATGCTACAGAAAATTTAATTTTCTTCCATGTTCTCACACCAGTACATACTGGGACTTTTAAAACTGGAACATATATAGTAACTCTGTGAAGTTAAAATAGATATTTATGCATTAATTTAAAATACACTGTGGGTTCTGCAGCAGAAAACAAGAAATCAACATCTATATATAAGGATAAAAATTAATTTTCTATAGTATGACCAAAGATTTGATGAGACCAGACAACTTCCATTTTTCTAGTTTCTATTTATAACACAATGACACTTTGTGTACACTTCCATAAATTTGAGGGTTTCTCAGAGAGTGGACTTTCTATTTAATTTTATTTGTTACCTGGATGCCAATGAGATTCATGAGGTTTTTCTAGACAACTCAAGTTCTCCTGATAGTCATTACAAGCTTCTCCATTCCCCTCCACCCAGGTGGACAAATTCCCCAAAACTCACCTTCTCCACTGATGATACTAGGTTTGGTCCTCATAGTTTGGCAAAATTGTACTCTGCAGTTCTCTACCCATTCAGCTTGTTTATCAGAAATTTTGAAAAGCGATAAAAGATTCCCAATATCATTATCTATGTAAGAAGAAAGACATTATGGTGTTATTCTCATAAGAAAATGAAGCGCCCAGTGGAAACAAGTAATATAAACAATTATAAATCATAGTACAAGTTACACAATGTTTTAAGAATAAAATACACTTCACAACTAAGGATGATTATATCTTGCAAAATTATTTATACATTTCCATCTACATACAAATCCACCACAAGTATTTATTTGTAATCATAACTTTCTAAAATTAAAATGCTTTAACAAAGAATCATATATTTATAGCTGAAAGGTGGACCTTATGGAACATTTTGTCCAACTGCCTCATTTTAAAGATGAGGGAACTGAAGCACAGTGAGGTGCCATTCTCTCACTTACCTTCAATCTCTCCTTGTCTACTGGCTCCTACCCTACTGTCTATAAACATGCCCATGTCTCCCCCATCTACAAAAAAAAAAACTCATTTGATCTCTTCCTGCCTATTAACTATTGTGTTATCTCTCCTTTGTCCTTTGTGGCTAACCTTCTGGAGAAAGTCATCTACAATAGGTGCTTCCACTTCCTCTGTCACATTCTCTTCTTACCTTCCTACAATCTGGCTTCTGAACTCATTATTCAACCAAAATTACTCTCTTCAAAGTTAACAATAATCTTGTAATTCCCAAATCCAATGGCCTTTTCCCAATCTTCATCCCTCTTGAACCATCTGTAAACTATGATACTGTCAATCGCACTTTGCTCTTTGATACTCTCTTTTTCTCTAGCTTTTTAACCACTCTCTTTTGGTTCTCCTCGCACCCATCTGACATCTATCTGACTGCTTCTTTTTTTTTTCCAATCTCCTCTGCTGGATCCTCATTCAGATCACACCCACTAACCCTGGGTGTCCCACAGGGCTCTATCTTGGCTCTCTTTTCTCTCTCTACTACCTCACTTGATGATCTCACCTGCTCCCATGGATTGAATTATCATCTCTACGCTGGTAATTCTCAAATCTGCTTATCAAATTCCAATCTCTCTTTTTTTCACATTGGCAGTAATTCCATCTTAATTATTCTTTTTTTGTACATTATGTTAAGGGCTTATAAAAATAACAGAACTAATGGTAATATGGTACGCAGTAGCACATCATATCCACATATGATGATGGGCAAGAACAGAATGATGACTTAGCAACACTTTAAAACTTTCACTTAGCTAATATGCATCAAATTAATTAAATTTTGGCTCACATTAAATGCAACCTTGTATCATTTTATAATTTGCACTTATTCGAATTTCACAGGAGCTGTGGGAGAGGGCAAGGATCAAAGCATACAATGCCCAGATCACGAGCTCTACATTTAGGACTCCTACGAAGGGCCAGGGCTTGGGCTTGGCAACCCCATTCATGATTGCTGGAGGGTAGAGTATGGTCCTGGTTTAGCATCCCTGGTCAGGAATGTGGCAGAGAGGAAAAAGTCTAAAGAACAGCTCAATCCCAGCGTGGCTACTCCCTCCAGGACTTTGGGAGTAGGCTTGACACCATTATTAGGATCTCAGTCTCAGCCACAAAGGTGCTTAAAAAAAATGCCTGAATGGCATGAACCTTTTTCAAATCTTAGAATTTCAAAATTACTCTTAAGTTACTGCCTGATATTCAACTTGCAAAACTAACATGCCTCTGTACAAACACTACTTCAGGCCACAAGCTTCTGCCAGGGATATTTCCAGAAGAGTTCTGGACTGTGTAGGAAATTAGACAACAGGTGCTTCCAATTTTAAATTTTATGTTCTAAATTACTAAAACATAAATAAGTAAAAAGGAACACTATCTAATTACATAACTTTCATAATGGTTGCAAGGTTTAGGCATACAAGTCATTCTTATACTTCCAGATTTGCTGACGTATGTACTATATTACTGTTTTGTAATAGAATCATTATCACTTCATTGACCCTGGGTGACATAAGTAAGGCAGCCCAATCACAATCTGTGATTAGATTCTGCTATATATCATTTACCAATGAAATAGACATCTCAGGCAGTCACTAGGTATTTATCTAGAAAGATTAGAAGATTATACTTTCCCTTAGGGAATACCACACTATCAAGATAATTTTCTAACAGACTCCTAAATGAATAATGAAAATCCAATGTGTCAGTAAAATATAGTGCTTTTTAGGCTAAATGAGGTTCTCTTTAATTCCTGATTCATACAAATATTTTTTCTGAACACAGAGTAATTACAATTTATACTTTTACATGTCTGATCCTGCCATGCTATGGGGGTGGATGGTAGAAGGAATCTGGATCTGTAAATTCAATGGTATAGAGAACTTCCAATATGGAACAGCATTAGGGAAATTTCAATGCTGGAATTGCTTGGGGCACTGAGGAGTTATTACTTTCTCAGGCTCACTCAGTCACTTATGTATAAGAGGTAGGACTTGAGTCCAGTCTTGCTGATTCCTTGGTTAGCTCTCTATCCAAGAACACATCATTTAAACTTCCAGTTATTATAACTGTAATTCTGTATTCCAATTCTTACTGATAAAATCTCTTATGACCGTAATTTCTACTTGTCTGTAATTCTCTGTTTAGTCTTACTGTCAAAGTCAGCAAGAGTATCTGCCTTTATTTCTACTACTTTGAGGAAAAGGACTATGATTTCAACTTTCCATCTATCCCTAAAAGCCTAGCACAGTGTTTTACACACATATCAATAGGTGGAGTTTTCATTTTTTTTACCTGAGAATTACCTTTATTTTCATTCAATGTGACATATTTATAAAGTTATAGTTAGCTTAAGAGGTTTGGAGAAAATAACTGACTTGCCCATGATCAAACATGGAAGTATCAGAGGCAAGTTTACTGACTTCAGGTTCAACAATTCATTCACCGTGCAAAGTTGCTTTTGTATCTTACAAATAGTAAACAACATATTAATATTTAAGAGAGAGAAATAAAGCACTTGACCTATTTGTTTGAAGAGGGTTGTAAGGTTGGCTTAATTCACAGAGACAGCAAAGCAGAGAGGGAGGAAGAACAGATTGGGGAGAGGAAGTGAGAGGAGACACTACATAGAACATGGAGCAAAGAGGAGTTGAAAAGAAGGACAAGATCAGGAAGTCTGGCAGATTTCCAGATGTTTCTTTTGAGATTGAATCATTATTTTATGCAAAACTGTTGTAAATTCTTCAGAATATCAAAAGCTAGAAAATATAAATAAAATACATTATTCTTTACTTTAGATGAACTTTTTCGCTGGCTTAGATAATCAAAACTAATCTATAATAAGAGTCAGTAATATAAAAACATAAAAGTGATTTGTTTTTCTTTATTATTCTTTCTTACACAGGACATAAACTGTACTTTTCCCAACTGCTATAAAAAGTGATAATTGTTTTAATTTAATGACATAAAAGTACAAGAAAAAATTAACATGAAAAAGAAAATATATTCTGAATTTTAAAGTGAATATGTCAAGAGCTGCAGCTCCATAACCTGTTCCCTTTGCTATAGTAAATAAACCATAAACTCTGTCATTACCCAGGTCATAGTTAAAGAGTGATTGCAAATGAAAACCAGCCAACTTCATCTGGAGAAAGAAAATTTTAATGCCAACTTCACGAATAATACCAGAAATAAACAGAAGAATGACACATGACAGAGAAGACATAAAAGGAAGATGAAGATTACCTGGAGAAGAACTGATAAAATAGCAAATTAATCATCATTAAGTAATTTTCAAAAAGGACTTTATGATCAAGGCAGTAAAAATGGTATTATGAGAACAGAGAAAATAGATCTTGTCTACATAGGATCCCAATGCCTAGCCTATTTGGATTTTTTGTTGTTGTTGCTGCTCAAATCATTTCTAAATTTATATGAGTGATCAGATTGATTGTGAAGTCATCTAATTTGGGAATTCAGACTTTAATTTGGAAATTTAGATAATTTTTAACTAGTATTTTTTGTTGATATACATGACTAAGCATTTTTTTCTTTAAAAAGCCTACACTCTTCCGCTTCCAGGAGCCAAGATGGCATAGTAAAAAGGAAGTAGCTTTCACTCTCCCCTATCAACCTCTGAAAACCCAGAAAATATCACCCCAGAAAAAAACCCTGGAACACCTGAACTAGAAGAAAGACAGGGAGCAGCAGTGCAGCAGCCCAGCAAAAGGGTCTCCCCGTGCCTCAGCAAAAATAAGGGAAGCAGAACTACAAGAGGCCCTAGGCGGATAAGTACCCTGCAGAATTCATCTAAAAGAAGCTGAAGAAAGCAACCTAAAGGCTTCCTAAAGCCCTGGCCTTGCTGGTTCCAACCCAATACCAGGTGACCTGTTGGAGCCTGCAGCTTCCATTGTTAACCAGGAAGAAATCCTGAAGCTGAGGTGGTAGAGCAGGCAAACACCAACACCTGGACCTCTGAGTGCCTCAGTGAGGGCTGGGGAATGGGTGGAGGCCAGCTCAGAAAACCACCAGGTACCTCGGCACTCTATACCAAAGGAATCTCCCAGTGCATTAGCAGAAATGAGGGAGGCAGCACTGCAGGGGGCCCCAGGCAGATAAACACCCTGCAGCACCTATCTAAAAGGAGCTGAAGAAAGCTAAAGGAAAGGAAAAACAGGCAACCTAGAATTGCCTGAAAGTTCCAGCCTTGCTGATTCCAGCCCACCATGAGGTAAGCTGCCAGAACCCTACAGGCTCCAATTGCCAACATAAGAGGCCCCAGCACACAAAACCAGGGACCAAGACCTAGGCTCCCAACACAAGAAGCTTGGGGTCAGGGCCCTCTGTTTCCAGAAGGAGAGCTCAAATCTCTTTAAAGGCCAGGGAATAAAGAAACACCATGAGTAAAAAGAAACGTACCATAGATTCATATTATGAGAAGAGTGAAGATCAAAACAGAAATTCTGAAGATAACAACATTGTCAACAAACCCACATCTGCAACATCAAAAGAGAATATGAACTGGTCTGATGCCCAAAAAGCCTTCTTAGAAGAGCTCAAGAAGGATTTTAATCAAATGAGAGAGGT